GTTATATTTAGCGATAAAGTTGCTTTCTTTTGTTTCCAAGAGATCACTATCACTAATATTGAGCTTGTACAAAGGAAAAACCTTGAATTGACCTTTACCACAAATATCCAAATGTTCGCTCACCGGCAAGAGTTTTATATTAGAAAATTTAACTGATCAGTAGTTTTTCCAATGTACTTGCCATTACATATTAGTAAGTAAATTACATATTTCGATTTGTAATTCATATTTTGTTTTACATAGAATTTAACATCTTTAATAATTTGGACAAACGTTCCTCCTAATATATCGGAACATGTCATACATAGTAGGTCCCAACATTTGGATACACGGGGTACCGAAATTTCAGAATCAAATTTTGATGATGTTAATATTCTTCTAAGATTTTGGGGTTGTTTTAGACTATTTAAAATTTTTGAATTTGGGGCTTCAAATCTTATATAAACTATTATTTATTCACATGACAACAGACAAACCCATAATCATCTCTCTAGAATATCGAACGGCAGAAATTTAAATGGATTAGAACTCCCGAGAGATTTAAAAATTTAACGATGAAATGGATAACCGAGATGTAGTCTCGTTTGTCCAGTATCGTTGCTACGATAATATATATATATAAAAAAATACGCTACATCTTCCAGCACTCATAACTTCGCTCAGATTGAAGTAATTTGACTGACATTTTCAAAATTTTCATTTTTCATTACCTTTTATAGCAAGAACGGGCAGCTCTTTATCCAAATCTTACATAATGCATCTTGGGGATCACGTGGCTAAGTGGGTAAGACGCTGGCTCGCTAGCCTGGAGGTCGGGTGTTCGATCCCTGCATTGGCCGAGAAAGTTCATCGAGATTTTCCGGCGTGGTTCCCCCTTGTCAGTGATGCAGGAAGGAGGGCCTGACAGGACAGCTGTCTAGTCCTTCGGATGAGACGGAAAACCGAGGTCCCGTGTATACATTAGAATGCACGTAAAAGATCCCTTGGCAGTTGGAATTCGATATAAGAGTAGGCGATAGTGCCGCTGCCTGGGCAAAATTTCCCTCATAGCACACTGTATGGCGTATGCCCGTCTTCATTAGCCCAGCATAGGAGCAGAACAGTAGGACGTTAAACCCCATTTCATTTCATTTCATTTCATAATGCATCTTAAATGGGCTGTCAGGGTTTTGAAAGTTTTTATACAAATCTCACATAAAGCGCTTCGAAAATTCACTTGTAAATTTTGATTGTGTTTTTGGATCGTTAAATTCTACATGAAAATGGTGTTGGATTATTATAAATTTGTGTCGGATGTGACAAGAAATGATTCCTTTCGGCCAACAAACAAGAATCACGGTGAAAAACAGACGGTAAGGAATCAAAAATAGTCTTAATTAGAACCGAGATGGGGGAAAAGCCTTATTTTCATATTGTATGCATATGATCCGTCAGTAACGAAGGAGAGCACCTGTACACTCTAAGAATTTGTTACTAAAGTAACCACGAGAGAGAGAGAAAGAGAGAGAGAAGGGGAGAGAGAGAGAGAAATGGGGTTTAACGTCCATTCGACACAAACTAGGTCATTTCAGGACTAACATATGGTTTTAATTTTATTTCAATAATTCGCTTGTGCGTAGGGGTCTTTAGCAGTGGGAGGAAACCGGAGGACCCGGAGAAAACCCACGAGGTTGGACAGGCGACCGTACAACCGGGGACTCGAAACCACGCCAGTTGACTCAATGACAGACCTTATGATACATCGCGCACACGCTAACCATTCGGCTACCCAACCCCCCTAAGTAACTACGAGACGTGTTATGTGCAAAATAGTTCTATATAGATATTGAAAAGTGTAGCCTCTAGGCCTATTTTGTATTTTAACACTGTGACAATGGTATTGTGGAGCAATGGAAATTGCAAATCTAAAATACGTATTTTGAACTGCTGACATATGCAATTTGTACAGTGAACATTGAAATAATACTGGCAACGTTATCCTTCCATAATGTTGTCCGAGAAAGTTCATCGGGTTGCCTGTTTGGTTCCCCATGTCAGTGCTGCAGGGCGGATGCCATGCATGGCCTAGCAAGGTACAATTTTACCAAGGTACAATCGTTTGGGATAGCACGAAGATCCGAGGTAACGTGCGTGTACACATAGGTGTGCACATGATAGAACCCTTATCCTTTATCAAAATAATTGTCGGTTTCAATTATAGTTATTGGCACGTGGAGACCACCGTTAAAGTCTATAACCGAACACAAATTGGAGACCTATTCGGCTAGCGACCTATTCGACCGATCCAGCTGGCAACCTGTTCGTGGCAACCTATTCAGAATTATGCCAACAGTCGCCCAATCTCATCTATTTTTATCAACCAATAAAATCCAACGAAACGTCTATCAAATGAAAGTAGAATATATTATTTTTTTATCCATATCTTTAGCCCCAGAAAAGAGGTGTAATTTCGCATTATCTTACAAAATTCGGGACATCCAACTAAATATATTCCGAAAGGTAATTAAATAGGCTTTCCAAATATTATTAGTAAAAGTTGGCACAGTCATATTAAAGGGGTGCACTCTCATCAAAGATAATTGATTAAGCTTTCCAAATATTATTAGTAAAAGTTTGCACAATTATATTAAAGGGGCGCGCTCTCATCCTAAACATGGCAAATTTTTAAAACATTTTAAAGGGAAAGACCGTTAATATCACGAGTCAAAATTCGGACCATCGTACAAAATTCCTAGCATCCAGCTATATATATTCTAAAAGGGGATTAAATAAGCTTTCCAAATATACTTAGTAAAAGTTGGCACAATCATATTAAAGGGTTGCACTCTCAACCTAAACGTCGCCAATTTTTCAATATTTTAAAGTGAAAGAACGGTAATATTCCGAGTCAAAATTCGGACCATCGTACAAAATTCTGAGCATCCAGCTATATATATTCTGAAAGATAATTGAATAAGCTTTCCAAATAATATTAGTAAAAGTTGGCACAATCATATTAAAAGGGCGCGCTCTCAACCTGAACATAGCCAATTTTTCAATATTTTAAAGTGAAAGAACGGTAATATTCCGAGTCAAAATTCGGACCATCGTACAAAATTCTGAGCATCCAGCTATATATATTCTGAAAGGTAATTGAAAAAGCCTTTCAAATATTATTAGTAAAAGTTGGTACAATCATATTAAAGGGGTGCGCTCTCGACCTGAACATAGCCAATTTTTCATTATTTTTAATGTAAAGTTAAACCGGTATTTTGTTCGAAGTCCAAATTTGGATCATCGTACAAAATTCTGAGCTTCCAGCTATATATATTCTGAAAGGTAATTGAATAAGCTTTCTAAATATTATTAGTTAAAGTATTCACAATCATATTAAAGATGTGCGCTCTCATCCTAAACGTCGCCAATTTTTAAATATTTTAAAGTGAAAGAACGGTAATATTCCGAGTCAAAATTCGGACCATGGTAAATTATTCTGAGCATTTACCTATATATATTCTGAGCTTCCAGCTATATATATTCTGAAAGGTAATTGAATAAGTTTTCTAAATATTATTAGTTAAAGTATTCACAATCATATTAAAGATGTGCGCTCTCATCCTAAACGTCGCCAATTTTTAAATATTTTAAAGTGAAAGAACGGTAATATTCCGAGTCAAAATTCGGACCATGGTAAATTATTCTGAGCATTTACCTATATATATTCTGAAAGGTAATTGAATAAGCTTTCCAAATATCATTAGTAAAAGTTGGCACAATCAAATTAAAGGGGTGCGATCTCAACCTGAACATAGCCATTTTTTCAATATTCTAAATGTAAAGATAGACCGGTATTTTTTTCGAAGTCGAAATTCGAATCATCGTACAAAATTCTGAATATCCATCTATATATATTCTAAAAGGTGATTGGAAAAGATTTCCAAATATTATTACTAAAAGTTGGCACAATCATCTTAAAGGGGTGCGCTTTCATCCTAAACGTCGCCAATTTTTCACTTTAAAATATTGAAAAATTAGCTATGTTCAGGTTGAGAGCGCACCCCTTTAATATGATTGTGCCAACTTTCACTAATAATATTTAGAAAGCTTATTCAATCACTTTTCAGAATATATATAGCTGGATGCTCAGAATTTTGTACGATGGTCCGAATTTTGACTCGGAATATTACCGTTCTTTCACTTTAAAATATTGAAAAATTGGCGTCGTTTAGGATGAGAGCGCACCCCTTTAATATGATTGTGCCAACTTTCACTAATAATATTTTGAAAGCTTATTCAATTACTTTCCAGAATATATATAGGTAAATGCTCAGAATTTTGTACGATGGTCCGAATTTTGACTCGGAATATTACCGTTCTTTCACTTTAAAATATTGAAAAATTGGCGACGTTTAGGATGAGAGGGCACCCGTTTAAAATGATTGTGCCAACTTTAACTAATAATATTTAGAAAGCTTATTCAATTACCTTTCAGAATATATATAGCTGGATGTTCAGAATTTTGTACGATGATTCGAAATTCGCCTCCAAAAAAAAATAATACCGGTCTATCTTTACATTTAGAATATTGAAAAATTAGCTATGTTCAGGTTGAGAGCGCACCCCTTTAATATGATTGTGCAAACTTTTACTAATAATATTTGGAAAGCCTATTTAATTACCTTTCGGAATATATTTAGTTGGATGTTCAGAATTTTGTAAGATAATGCGAAATTACACCTCTATTCTGAGCTAATGGAATGGATAAAAAAATAATATCTACTTTCATTTGATAGACGTAACGTTGGATTTTATTGGTTGATAAAAATAGACGAGTTTGGGCGAATGTTGGCATAATTGTGAATAGGTTGCCAACGAACAGGTTGCCAGCTGGATCGGTCGAATAGCCGAATAGGTCGCCAATTTGTGTTCGGTAAGTCTATACATAGGGCCTACGTCATTGGAGACCGCGTTGTCATTTTTATAAAGACTGGACAACCTTTACGCACGAGGAAGGAAGGTACGGTAGATAACTCTAACAAATTACTCGAGACTAACGTTTGTTTTCTGTGACACGTGTTTGTTTATTATCGTAAATTTCTAAACTTATTCTTCTTTTGAGAAAAATGTCGCTCTCCCATTTTGTAAGTATTCAATATTCAGCTATATTTATCCACATAGTAAGTTCAGCATTTCGACCTGATTAGAATAGGATACACACTGAGTGACAGCAACATGTCAATAGAATACACACTGAAACACACACGTGACACAGTGACACAGACAGGTCAACTCCTCCACACGAAAAGTTCGACCGTTCGACTATCAATATTCACAGGGGTAATGGGAAAAGCACTGTATAATAATAAGTGCAGGAGGACCGCACCACACACAAAAAATTACACAAGACAAACCTACGGACATGACAGAATATATTATTATATTATTAACGATCTAATTCTCAGTTAAACATATTACTTAGGTAAGTAAAATTCAAATATTAGAGAAAAAACACTAAAAATTTTGGCTAGTCAGTACTATCATCGTTATCAAAGGAATCATCAGGCCATTTTAATGCGTTACTATGCTGTTACAATAACAGAGGAAAATGACCTATCTAAAATATAAAAACTAAAACGAAAAATAACATTAATTAAACATCAAACATAATTAAAATAATCACCCCTTAGCATTCAAAATTGGGTTATATTTAGCGATAAAGTTGCTTTCTTTTTCTTCCAAGAGATCATTATCACTAATATTAATTGAGCTTGTACAAAGGAAAAACCTTGAATTGACCTTTACCTCAAATATCCAAATGTTCGCTCACCGGCAAGAGTTTTATATTAGAAAATTTAACTGATCAGTAGTTTTTCCAATGTACTTGCCATTACAACCATTACATATTAATAAGTAAATTACGTATTGATGTTTTGTTTTACATAGAATTTAACATCTTTAATAATTTGGACAAAATGTTGCTTCTAATATATATATATCAGAACATGTCATATTAATAAGTAAATTACATATTTCGATTTGCAATTCATATTTTGTTTTACATAGAATTTAACATCTTTAATAATTTGGACACATGTTCCTTCTAATATATCGGAACATGTCATACATTGTAGGTCCCCACACTTGAATACACAGGGTACCGAAATATCAGAATCAAATTTTGATGATGTTAATATTCTTGTAAGATTTTGAGGTTGTTTTAGACTATTTACAATTTTTGAATTATTTATTTTAATTTATGACTATTGTTCTTTAAAATATCCAACCCTCCCTAAAATACAATGGACAAACCTCTTTCTCGAGAAGGATTAAATGTTGACAACATGTAATATGGTTGTAATGGCAAGTATATTGGAAAAACTACTGATCAGTTAAATTTACGAATTCACCAACATCATTCTAACATAAAACTCACAAGAAATAGAGTCTTGCGTGTGAGCGAACATTGGGATATTTGTGGTAAAGGTCAATTCAAGATTTTTACTTTGTACAAGGGGACAAGCTCAATATTAGTGATAATAATCTCTAGGAAACAAAAGAAAGCAACTTTATTGCTAAATATAACCAAATTTTGAATTAGTTTTTATACTACGTACATGTATTATAAAAACTATTGTTTTTGTTCGGATTATTATTCATTTATTTATTTTTTTTTTCCTCGCGTTTTTGGAAAAAGTAAATACCAGTATTCTACAGAATTAAACTCTATACTATCCGAAAGGTATTTAGTTCAAAAGGTGAATGAATAAATAAAACTTTAGAAATGTTATCAGGAAGTGACGTCTTCAACTTTTTTTTTTTTTCAACCAATTTGAATGTTGTTTTCACCAATTTGTAGCTGTTTTGTATTTCTCAACTTTTATTTTGAGACATTGTGCCCCTACGACGCATGCATATACGTAATTTTAAGCTAAATTGTGAAAATTCTGAGTGTAACTTTTTTATTTTGGAAAATTTCGACTTGAAACTTTCAGAATACATTACAAATGGGTGGATTAAGCGAAAAATGTCAACAAAAAATTTCCGATTATCTCCCCTTTTAAGATGAAGTCAGATTTCCAACTTCTTTAATTTTGCCTTATTTAAAAATATTTGTCAGTAGGAATCATCTATCAACTTTTTTGAGTAATCTCACCGGAAGTGCCACCATTTTGAAAATGTAAGTCAATCTTCTAAATCCTACTGGTCCTACAATTCTTAATGAAACTTGAAGTGCGTGTTTATAACCCACAGATCTCGGTCCCTTTCAATATTCGCGCATATCGGATCGTAACTTCCTGAAATATGGGCTCTGATTGTACGCAAAATCGCGTTTTTCGCTTGTGGTCCCTCTAGAGGTCACAATTATTATCTGATTTTAAAAAAACGTTTGAATATATCACCGTTACACCCTAAGGATGGTTGGGTTCAAATTTCATTAAAATGAAACCAAAACTGCCGGACAAAATGGCCGCCCCTCGTTCGCAAATAGTGTCACAATATTGTGTATCAGGTTTGTGGACCTTCTGGAGGTCACAATTTTCATCTGATTTTGATGACACTTGAAATGCTTGTTTATAACCCACAGATCTTGGTCCCTTTCAATATTCGCGCTTATCGGATCGTAACTTCCTGAAAATGGCCTCTGATTGTACGCAAAATCACGTTTTTAGCTTGTGGTCCCTCTAGAGGTCACAATTATTATCCGATTAAAAAAAACGTTACACCCTAAGGATGGTTGAATTCGAATTTCATGAAAATGAGACCAAAATTGCCGGACAAAATGGCTGCTCCTCGTACGCAAATAGTGTAAACATCTGGTATATCAAAGTTGTGGACCCTCTAGAGGCCACAATTGTGATCTGATTTTAATGAAACTTGAAATGCAAGTTTATAACCCAAAGATCTCGGTCCCTTTCATTATTCACACATATCGGACTGTAACTTCCTGAATTATGGCGTCTGATTGTACGCAAAATCGTGTTTTTAGCTTCTGGTCCCTCTGGAGGTCACAATTTTTATTTGATTTTAAAAAAAAACCATTTGAATATATCACCGTTACACCGTAATGTTTGTTGACTTCGAATTTCGTGAAAATCGGGCCAAAACTGCCGGACAAAATGGACGCAAATAGTAAACATCTGGTAAATCAATGTTGTGGACCCTCTAAAGTTTACAATTTTGATCCGATTTTGATGAAACTTGAAATACATGTTTATAACCCAAAGATAGTGGTTCATTTCGATATTCGCACATATCGGATCGTAACTTCCTGAATTATGTCCCTTGATTGAACAAAAAATCACTTTTTATACGCCCACATTTTCATGTGGACGTATTATGCCGTCGCCCCTGTCCGTCACAATTCTTATCCGATTTTGACGAAACTTGAAATATAGGTTTATCTCCAAAAGGTCTCGGTTTCTTTCGATATTGGCATGTATTGGATCGAAACTTCATGGATTATGGCCCCTGTTTGTACGAAAAATCACGTTTTTAGCTTGTGGACACTATAGAGCTCACAATTTTTATCCGATTTTGTTGAAACTTGAAATATAAGTTTATAACCCAAAGATCTCGGTTCCTTTCGATATTCGCGCATATCGGACCGTAACTTCCTGAATTATGGCCCATGATTGTACCAAAAATCGCGTTTTTAGCTTGTGGACCCTATAGAGGTCATAATTTTTATCCGATTTAAAAAAACGTATTATTATATCACCGTTACACCCTAAAGATGGCTGTGTTCGAATTTCGTGAAAAATGACAAAATGGCCGCTGTTTGTTCTCAAATAGCGTAAAAATATGGTATATCAAGGTTGTGGACCCTATAGAGGTTACAACTTTTATCCGATTTTGTTGAAACTTGAAATGTAATTTTATAACCATAAGATCTCGGTTCCTTTCGATATTCGCGCATATCGGACCGTAACTTCCTGAATTATGGTCCCTGATTGTACGAAAAATCGCGTTTTTAGCTTGTGGACCCTATATAGGTCATAATTTTTATCTGATTTAAAAAACCGTATTATTATGTCACCGTTACACCCTAAGGACGACTGAGTTCGAATTTCGTGAAAATTGGCAGAAAATTGACAGACAAAATGGCCGCCGTTCGTTCTCAAATAGCGTAAAAATATGGTATATCAAGGTTGTGGACCCTATAGAGGTCACAATTTTGATCAGATTTTGATGAAACTTGAAATACATATTTATAACCCAAAGATCTTGGTTCCTTTCGATATTCGCACATATTGGATCATAACTTCCTGAATTATGGCCCTTGATTGTACGAATAGTCGCGTTTTTAGGATGTGATCCCTCTAGATGTCACAATTTTTATCCGATTTTAAAAAACGTTTGAATATATCACTGTTAAACCCTTATGATGGTTGAGTCCGAATTTCGTATGCAAATATTATAAATAAATGGTATATCAAGGTTTTGGACCCTCTAGAGAGTGTACACAATTTTGATCTGATTTTGATGTAACTTGAAATACCTGTTTATAACCCAAAGATCTTGGTTCCTTTCAATATTCATGCATATCGGATTGTAACTTCCTGAATTATGGCCCTTGATTGTACGAAAAAATCACTTCTTTTTTTGAGCTTGTTCTCTGTCCATCTCTTGCAAAATGTGGGCGTATCTTGCATGGCAACTGCTTGTTTAGCTTGTAGTCCCTGTAGAGGTCACAATTTTTATCTGATTTAAAAAAAAAGTGTGAATATATCACCATTACACTCTAAGATCTTGGTTCCTTTTGATAATCGCAGATACCCAAACTTAACTTCCTGGATTATAGCCATTGATTGTTCAAAAAATCGCATTTTTATACGCCCACATTTTCATGTGGACGTATTATGCCGTCGCCCCTGTCCGCCCGGACGTCTGGTTGTCTGGACGTCCGTCCGTCCACAATTTGTTTGTGGACACTCTACAGGTCACAATTCTTATCCGATTGTACGAAAAATCACGTTTTTGGCTTGTGGACCCTTTCGATATTCGCGCATATCGGACCGAAACTTCCTGAATTATGACCCCTGATTGTACGAAAAATTGCGTTTTTAGCGTGTGGACCCTATAGAGGTCATAATTTGTATCCGATTTAAAAAAACGTATTATTATATCACCGTTACACCATAAGAACGCCTAAAATTGACAGACAAAATGGCTGCCGTTCGTTCTCAAATAGCGTAAAAATATGGTATATCAAGGTTGTGGACCCTATAGAGGTCACAATTTTTATCCGATTTTGTTGAAACTTGAAATATAAGTTTATAACCCAAAGATCTCGGTTTCTTTCAATATTTGCGCATATCGGACCGTAACTTCCTGAATTATGGCCCTGATTGCACGAAAAATCGCGTTTTTAGCTTGTGGACCTTATAGAGGTCAAAATTTTTATCCGATTTTAAAAAACGTTTTATTATATCACCGTTACACCATAAGGACGACTGAGTTCGAATTTCGTGAAAATCGGCCCAAAATTGACAGACAAAATGGTCGCCATTCGTTCTCAAATAGCGTAAAAATATGGTATATCAAGGTTGTGGACCCTATAAAGGTCACAATTTTTATCCGATTTTCTTGAAACTTGAAATGTAAGTTTATAACCCAAAGATCTCGGTTCCTTTCGATATTTGCGCATATCGGACCGTAACTTCCTGAATTATGGCCCCTGATTGTACGAAAAATCGTGTTTTTAGCTTGTGGACCCTATAGAGGTCATAATTTTTATCTGATTTAAAAAAACGTATTATTATATCACCGTTACACCCTAAGGACGACTGAGTTTGAATTTCGTGAAAATCGGCCCAAAATTGACAGACAAAATGGCTGCCCTTCGTTCTCAAATAGGGTAAAAATTGGGTATTTCAAGGTTGTGGCCCTATATAGGTCACAATTTTTATCCGATTTTGTTGAAACTTGAAATGTAAGTTTATAACACAAAGATTTCGGTTCTTTTCGATATTTGTGCATATCGAATTGTAATTTCCTGAATTAAGGCCCTTGATTGTAGGAAAAATCACTTTCTTTTTAGCTTGTTCTCTATCCATCTGTCGAAAATGTGGGCGTATCCTGCCTGGCAGCTGCTGGTTAGCTTGCGGATTCTCTAGAAGTCACAATTTTTTTCCGATTTTAAAAACAGTTTTAAATACATCACCATTTCACCATAATGAAGGTTGAATTCGTATTTCGGGAAAATCAAAATGAAACTGCCAGACAAAATGGCCGATCTTTGTACGCAAATTGTGTAGAAGTGTTTAATACAATGGTTGTGGACCCTCTAGAGGTCACAATTTTTATCCAATTTTGATGAAACTTAAAACATATCTTTATATCCCAAAGATCTCTGTCCCTTCTGATATTTGTACATTTCAGGCCATAACTTTCTGGATTATTGCCCCTGATTATACAAAAAAAATCATTTTTGTTTTTAGCTTGTTCTCTATCCATCTCTTGCAAAATGTGGGTGTGTATTCTGCCTGGCAGCCGCTGGTCTTTAATAGTGTGAATAACAGGGCTGGATGACCTGGCGCCTGGTACGTTCGGGCATTTTTATGCGCGAACTCTTAGTTTTTTTTACTGGCATGCGCACAGGTACTTTGTCTTTGTCTTTTAACAAGTACCCAAATCGGGGATTTCGTGCGGAGGTAGTTCGGAGGTAAACAGTCTATGAAGTACAACACTTGCTACTGTACCTGTGTATCGCTAATTATAAACCGAATGTGTGAAGACAGTTCATACATATCACTCAAAAATTTTTCAGTACAAACTCAGTTGATTCACGCTCGATTACCTACTAAACAAACCCATCGGTTTATTTTCTCAACATTACCCGAAGTGACCGCGGATTTATTGACCTTGTATGAACTTATCCATAGCTATATCCTTACACCGAGAGAAATTATCTAGTCTCGGTGAAAAGAACCATGGTCATCTGGTAGAAAATTACTTTTGTATTTTTTGGAACGGAAAACAGTGTTTTTAGAAGCAAACTAACCTGCCGCACATGAGGAAGTCATTATACTAATGATAAAAGGCGAGACCTCTTTTTGCGGCGCAGGCTTATCACTGAGTAGTAAACCGTCCACAAACAATAATATAGGAAGCCTAGTGACGAGTGTAGTACGTAGGCTATAGACTATAGGTTTGAGTCGAGATTACTCGCTTTCAGTTTACTCTGTTTTTGCGATAACCAATTATGTGAGAAATACCATACTGACATTCGGTTTTTAAAAGTTGTACGCGAACTAAATGCGTTTGTTAGATACTGACAGAGCAGCCCCGAGTCGAACAATCGCCGCCCGAGCTGTCTTCGTCAGCTAGTTTCACAATATCGTGCAATAGGTGTATTAATGTGATTTTTAGGTTTAACCCCGCAAACAATGCCAAAATAGTGTTTTCACTGCTTACAGAAAACTGAAATTTAAAAAAAACATTTTTTATGAGGGTGACCCTCCCACACACTCCCTATCGAGCTGCCGCTCGGTCTGCGCAGCCTCATGCCTGGCACATACTGTCAACATTGTATATTTTTCCGTTTCCGCCCTTCCCCCCCACAATATATATTTCACGGCTACGTTGCGACGGTACCAGCATACCCAGTTGTTGACACCCATTACATCACTCCTGTCTAACAAATCATAAAGCTGTGGTGTTACGGTGGCGGCATAGTATTTCACCGTAACACCACAGCCACTCTAACCATTCATAATACATCTAACTATCCCTTTACAGCACTTCACTCCCTACACATTTCCCCTCGTCCTACTTTCCCAAACGTCAACAACACATCTCATACATCCAGTTCGCTGATTAACCCTTGTACCACGTCTACTGGATTTACCAATAGGTATAGAAGGCCCATGTGTATCTTGGGGCACACTGAAACTAATTTGTTGCATAGCTTGTCAGCGTATAACTTTGTTTAAGTATACATCAGGTATTTCTATAAATACAAGTAGGTAAATCCGGCCCAGATGTATAATGTAAGTAGCAGTTCGTATAATATAGCTGAAATGTGTCTTACATATTATATTTTAGTCAGCTGCGGAAGTTCAAGCTGTTGGGGCAAGTTTACAAAGTCCTGAAGATTTAGGTAATAGGGTAAGTTGTGGCTTAATCAACCTATATTCTGAGTATAGTTTCTCAATAACCAAACCGTATTGCCTAATTTCCAAAGAAGAAGAAAAGACGGGTAAAGTCAAAGTATGCTAGGAGTATACCGGTAGTTCTACTGTAATACATGTATTAGACATTTAGAAGACTACTGACATGGAACTAATGATTTCCTTTGTGTTCTCTTTACCAGATAAGAAGAGATAATTACTACTTTCAGCAACTTTTAGATAGAGGTTAAGCATCTGATTAAACCTCTTTTCAGTTACTAAATGTATTTCACATCTCAAAATGTATGTAATATTTTGAAAAATAAACTATATTCTTTACTATTTGAAATAGTATGTTAGACTTCAAATTATATTTTAATAATATATTTTAAAATATAGATGTCCGTTTTTATTATAGGAGGATGTAGAACTTCAGTGGGCTATCAAAGCTTCTAATCATGCTGAAACCTATTTTAATGTAAGTTATGTGTAGTAGTTAGTATGGTATGTGTCATGAATAACCATTAGCACTTTGTACGTAAATATTGACTACTTAGGTTCCTTGAAGATAATTAGAGAAAAGTGATATATTTCATACCAAAGAATGCCAGGACAGCCTTGATTCCCTTGAACTATCTGAAACTACTGCCCAGGTCATGTGAACTGCTATCCGTAATGTAGGACCTATAGTATGCTAGCTATTCATGTAACTTGGATAGTTTTGGGCTGTCCAAGTACTAAAGGGTTAAGACAGGTTTATGTAGTTATTAATGAATCAATGCAAATGAATCACTACTAGTCAAGAGACTGTGATGTATTCCATTGTAATTACCTGTCAACACATTTGTAATATTTCTATCTGGTGTAGCAAAGTCAGAAGAGAGACGTACTTGAAACACAAACTGGGCCAATTTGGAACTAACATATGGAATAATTTTATTTCAATAATTCACTTTAGCGTAGGGGTCTTTAGCAGTGGGAGGAAACCAGAAGCAATCCACAAGGTTCGATAGGTGACCTTACTCCTTGCTACATAAAGTGTGTGGGATTGATAACCTGTCAGACAGATCATTATAGAAGTCATTCCAAGATATGATATATTCATCAATCCTGAATAAAGACAATTAAAGATACATTATGTAAGATTTAGATAAAGAACTGACCATTCTTGCTATAATAGCTCAAAATTTCTTTCAAATTACTTAATTCTGAGCCAAGTTATCACAAGATGTGTGCATAGTGGTAACCAGGGCACTGGTATATTCAAGCCTTGGCCTCGCTTTCCCATTTTTATACGCCCACATTTTCATGTGGACGTACATTGTCATTGCCCCTGTCACAAATTTTATCTGATTTCAACGAAACTTGAAATATAGGCTTATCTCCCTAAGATCTCGGTTCCTTTCGATAATTGGCATATATCGGACAGTGGACCCTATAGAGGTCACAATTTTTATACGGTCACATTGAAATGTGGTCGTAAATTGTCGTCGCCCCTGTCTTGTCGGTCTGGCGTCCACAATTGCTTGTGGACGCTCTAGAGGCTAAAGTTATCATCCGATTGACTTCAGATTGATACATAGTGTTTAAAGTCATGAGACGAAGACCCCTATTGATTTTCAGCAATTTCCGATAATTAGCACCAGAGTTATGGCCCTTGATCACTTCAAAAAATCTTGTGGATGCTCTAGAGGCTAAAGCTAATATCTGATTGACTGTAAATTTATACACAGTGTTTAAGGTCATGAGACGAAGATGTCTATTGATTTCAGCAATTTTCAATAATTACTGCCAGAGTTATGGCCCTTAATCACTTCAAGATATCTTGTGGACGTTCTAGAGGCCAAAGTGAATATCCGATTGACTTTAAATTTATACACAGTGTTTAAGGTCATGAGACAAAGAAGCCTTTTGATTTTCAGCGATTTCCGATAATTGCTGCCAGAGTTATGGCCCTTGATCACTTTAAAAAATCTTGTGGACGCTCTAGAGGCCAAAGTTAATATCCGATTGATGTTAAATTTATACACAGTGTTTAAGGTCATGAGATGAAGAAGTCTATCGATTTTCAGCAATTTCCAATGATTACTGCCAGAGTTATGGCCCTTGATCACTTCAAAATATCTTATGGATGCTCTAGAGACTAAAGTTATCATCCAATTGACTTCAGATTGATAGACAGAGTTTAAGGTCTTGAGATGAACAAGTGTATTGATTTATATGCCCACATTTTCATGTGGACGTATATTGTTGTTGCCCCTGTCCATCCATCCATCCATCCGTCCACAATTGTATGTGGGCACTCTACAGGTCACAATTTTTATCGGATTTTGACGAAACTTGAAATATAGGTTTAACTCCAAAAGATCTCGGTTGCTTTCGATATTGGCATGTATCGCATCAAAACTTCATGGATTATGGCCCCTGATTGTACGAGAAATAACGTGTTTAGCTTGTGGACCATATAGAAGTCACAATTTTTATACGCCCACATTTTCAGGTGGACGTATATTGTCGTCGCCCCTGTCCGTCCGTCCGTCCACAATTGTTTGTGGACACCCTACAGGTCACAATTCTTGTCTGATTTTGACGAAAATTAAAATATAGGTTTATCTCCAAAAGATCTTGGTTGCTTTCGATATTGGCATGTATCGCATCGAAACTTCATGGATTATGGCCCCCTGGTTGTACGAAAAATCACGTTTTTAGCTTGTGGACTCTATAGAGGTCAAAATTTAAAACCGATTTTGATGAAACTTGAAATGCATGATTATAACCCAAAGATCTTGGTTTCTTTTGATATTTGCACATATCGGATCGTAACTTCCTGAATTATGGCCCTTGACTGTACGAAAAATCGCGTTTTTGTCTGGCAGTTTTGTTCTGATTTTCATGAAATTCAAACTCACCCAACAATACGATGTAACGGTGATAGTGTACGCAAATAGTGTAAAAATCTGGTTAGCTTGTGGATTCTCTAGAGGTCACAATTTTTTTTCCGATTTTAAAAAACGTTTAGATATATCACCATTTCACCATAATGGTTGAATTCGAACTTTGGGAAAATCAAAATGAAATTGCCCAACAAAATGGTTGCTCTCTGTACGCAAATTGTGTATAAGTATGTAATACAAAGGTTATGGATCCTCTAGAGGTCACAATTTTTATCCAATTTTGATGAAATTTAAAACATATCTTTATATTCCAAAAATCTCAGTCGCTTTTGATATCTGCGCATTTCAGACCATAACTTTCTGGATTATGGCCTCTGATTGTACAAAAAATCATTTTTGTTTTTAGCTTGTTCTCTATCCATCTCTTGCAAAATGTGGGCGTATCCTGCCTGTAAGCCGTTGGTTAAATTAAATTTTTAAATGGCGAACCATTCTAATCTAGTTAAAATCTTGAGTATCCGATGCCATCGAGAGTTGATTATGGTCTTGTTTTGTTAATAAATGTCTAATTAATGGTGTATATAGCATTTCAGGCCTAAAGAATGACCTAGAAAAGGCAGATTTAGCTCTTGCATTATAATGTATGTTTAATATAAGCATCTTAAATTAGCACATGTAATATGTACATAGATGTTTGTCTTTGTTTCATATTTTGTATATCTTCATTGCGCTATGGTTCTCATTCTTTGCTTGATAAAGACGGTAGAACCCTCGTTGAAACATCGCCGAAATAAACTCTTCAAGTTACTTGTATTCCATATAATTGTGTCGTGTGTTAAACTCTCCTTCTAATTGAGCTAAAATGTTCAAGCTTAATGGTGTAGGTGTTTATTAGGTGAATGCCATGATGGAGTTTGAACATGAGAATTTTCTGCTTAGGGTAAGCAGAGATAAGCAATTTGATTTGTTGATGCTTTGGGACAAGATAACTTTACTTCTAATTAAGTGAGAGTGAGGACACTTGGTATATATACATTGTAGTTTTATCACATCAATGCCTTGACAGAGTTCGATAATGAGCAGTTTCTGCTCAGGGTTAGCAGAGAGATAAGCAATTTGATTGGTCGAGACTTTGGAACACAATAACTCTCTTTCTAATTGAGGTAGAATGTTCAAACTTAGTGTAGGCATTCATTAGGTGAATGCCTTGATGGAGTTCGATGATAAACATTGGCTGCTTACGGTAAGCAGAGATAAGCAATCTGATTGGTTGATGCTTTGGGCATGATAACTTTGGTTATAATTAAGTGAGAGTGATGAAACTCCGATTATAGATTTATTATATCATTACCTTGACTGAGTTCGATGATAAGAATTTTCTGCGTAGGCTAAGGAGCGATAAGCCATTTGATTGGTCAAGACTTTGGAACATAACAACCCTGCTTTTAATTGAGGTAGAATGTTTAAACTTGATGTAGATGTTCATTAGGTGAATGTCTTGACTGAGTTCCGTGATTAACATTTTGAGCTAAAGCTAAGCAGAGCTAAGCAATTTCATTGGTCGATGCTTTGGGACAAGATAACTTTAATTCTATCTGATAGAGAGTGATGAAACTTAGTGTATAGTTGATAATCAGTTTGATTGCTTGATACTTTTGAAAAAAAATAAATGTGTGATTAATTAATATGTGTCATCTATTTATTTTGGGATTTTGGCGGGGGACATCAGCCTCACTGTTGGCTTGTTATTTCCAGCTAATTACGTCAGTTGATCCATCTGTTCTTCGACTTACCAAACAAGATGATGAAATATACAGTCAATTCAGAACAGAATTTAAAGACTTTAAAGTTGATATAATTGATGTTGCAGAATTGAAATCAGCTGAAGCAAAGATAGTAAGAATTTCTTTGATTATATGCCGGTCATTTTTGGGGGGGTTCATCTGTCTGTGTGTCTGTTCATCACTGTTTTTGATGCACAATAACTCTCCTACCGGTAATTGAGGTAGAATGTGTAGATGTTCATTAGGTAAATGTCTTGACTGAGTTCGTTGATCAGCATTTTCTGCTTAGACAAAGCAGAGGTAAGCAATTTGATTGGTCAAGACTTTAGAACTCTGCTTCTATTTGAGGTAGAATATATTAACTTGGTGTAGATGTTCATTGTGTGAATATATTGTCTGAATTGGATGATGATCACTTTCTGATTAGGCTAAGCAGTGATAAGCAAATTGATTTGTCAATTCTTTCGAGCAGTTGACTGTAATTCTAACCGAGGGAGATTTGTGAATCAATAACTGCCATCTATGAAATTGTTGATAATAATGGAACGTATTCCAAAAAATGGTCTACTTACAGCCTGCAAGCATGATAATACAATTAGACCACTCGTCTCCTTGAAAAAAATAAGATCAACAATAATTACAGATACATTGTACTCTTTGAAAATAAAGTTTTAAATACTTTTGCTTTGGTATTTGTAGAAATGGAGAGCGTTTTGTGAATCTTTCAAAGATATGGATGACTATAATTATGGATCTTTACTTCGAATAGACTGTAAAAAAGATTATACTGAAAGTAATTCCATATTTGGTAAGAAAAAAATGTGTGTAGTTGAAATACTTAGCATTTTTTATACACCCGCATTCAAATGTGGTCTCTATGGTTGTCACCGCCATCCGTCTGTTTTCTACAGGCGAAAGTTATCATCGGATTGACTTAAAATTTATTCACAATGATCCGTATGAAACGAAGAAACTTATTGATTTTCAATAATAATTGTTCACGTTATGACTCTTCATCACATTTAAATATCTTGTGGACTCGCTTGTGGCTAATGTTGTTATCCAGGTAATTTGAAATTTATACACAGTGAATTTATTCTTGGACAAAAGATTCCTATAAATTTACGATAACTTGGAACAGCTAAAGATTACCAGTATATGTTTTGTAATGGAAATGTTAGCATTAAGAATAACAAGAAGCCGATCAATTTATTTCTGATAATGACTTCAGGAATTGTTACTCTTGGTCAGTTCTTAGTGGATTGACTTCTGTGGGGCAGTGGGTGTATGTTTTAATGCCTGGCAACCTCTCTTTATAAAATTTGTTAAATGAGATATAATCTGATAGACATATCAAACATCTTTTCAAGACCAATGCATCTTGCTTTGTAGATGATAACTATTTTGTTGCCAATAATAATGCTGCAGATGTTTACCCAATGTGTATCCTTAACTTTTCAGCTTTGAGAATTCAGTTTCTGGCCATAGAAATTGCTCGGAATCGTGAAGGCTATAATGCTGATTTAAGAAAAACGAAAGGAATTGTGAATGATAGTAAGGATTCTTAGTGCAGGAGTGGCAATGACTTGTTTTGGCAAATTGCTGGTGTAAAGATTATCATTGTGTTTTTTATAAGGATGTTACTAAATGGCTAGTAATTTGTGTGTTGGCATAAGGACTGAAAATCTTTTTTTTAAATTTATATACAATATGGATACTGTACCATCAAGAGCCACACCTTGTTAGTGCATACTACCACTATATGATTCAGTCATGCTAAACATTGTTTTAATTTTGAGACATTGAAATAAAAATATACTTAGACGCAATGAAAATGCACTACTAATATGACTGGAATTACTGCTAGGTGTAATGTTACTGAAATGTGATTTTTGGCATGATTGTGGGCTGGACATTTTCCATCACAAGAAAATCAACAACCCAAGAATGCCATAACAATTTTACTTTATAGTTAAATATATGGTGTAGAGTCAGAAAATGTCAACATTAGGCCGTCTGGCAGAGCATAGTCAACGATGAACAGTGTCAGAATTGATGAACCGATGTGGCAGAACGGGTAACTGGCAGCATGCAGTCCTGGATAAAGTGCTGGTTTTGTCAAGGCATTCACATGTTGTCATCCAGGCCTTGGCTGATCTCTGGTAGACCATGTTTGCCAATAGGATCAGCCAGTTGTAAAATTGTAGTGTGATGGCATCCAAAGCTTATGACGACGGCTCTGGTTCTCATGCCCTTTTGAATTGACGCAAGTGCATGTTATCAGTGTTCAAGTGTCAACGTTGGCATATATTTTTGACTTTCATAGACCCTGGTATTCAGTTGTTTTGTGCTTTGAGAGAATTCATCTGCGGTACATTTACATGATCGCGAAATCATCATTCCCACTTGTTATCATCCAACTGATGTTGTTACATTCATAATTGTAAATTTAAAGTGTATGTCTCCAACATGGTATACAATATATTATTTGTGTTGTTTTCATTGCGTCTCAATACATATATATGTTTCTTGGAATAGGCTTAAAATTTTGATAACTACCATCTTCCAAATAAAATTGTGGTATGGTGCTTAAAACACTGTATACTTTCCAACCTGCAAAGGATGTCAGATGAAACCAGGTGTTTATTATAGAAGTGTATAATGTTCTCCAGACTGCACCTATACAATCTTTTATACAAACTAGCTAGTGAAATGTGTACTATTTAATGTCTAACCGTTTTTTAAACCACATGCTTAATGAAACATCACAATTAACCAGGTTACATTATAATTCATTTTATATTAAGCAAGTGAGACAATATAGTATAGCTTTCATTTTATATTCTATTTACAATTTGCTACAAATGAGTTATAACATTTTTATACACGCACATTGAAATTTGGTCATATATTGTCATCGCCCCCGTCCGGCATCCACAATTGCTTGTGGATGCTCTAGAGGCTGAAGTGAATATCCGCTTGACTTCAGATTGAGTGTTTGTGGACACTCTACAAGTCACAATTCTTTGACGAAACTTGAAATATTGTTGTCGCCCCTGTCCGTCAGTATTTAAGGGCATGAGTCGAAGAAGCCTATTGATTTTCAACGATGTCCGATTATTAATGCCAGAGTTATGGCCCTTGATCACTTTGAAAATTCTTGTGGACACTCTAGAGGCTAAAGTTATCATCTGATTGATTTTATATCTATATATAATCGTTTCGATTGACTTTAGATTGGTTCACAGATTTTAAGGCCTCGAGACGAACAAATACATTTGTTTTAAATGTTTTGTATACTAACGTTAGATGGGCCATACAAATTCTAATGATTTTCTGATAATTACTTAATGAGTTATTACTCTTTTAATCAGATTTTAGTGTATTATAAATGTTCCATTACCGACAAAAGTAAAAATATGCGACAACTTTTGTTGACTGCCTGGACAATTTAGCTGCTGTGGGCGTATGTTACGTTGTCTGGCAATCTATCTTTATACTCTAATACATGTACTACTTTTAAGATTGGTATATTCATTATTTGATATCTTTCCCTGACAAGGTTTTTTTTTACTGTTAGTCTGCTTTGTGACTTTTAATTAGGATCAGTAATATTTTATTCCCATATCCTTCTGTTCAGAATAAATTCAAGCCAATAAATACAATATTGGAATTGAAAAGGATGTGTATTTCTTATGTATAAATGTGAAGAGTGTGAATGTCTTGTGTAAATGTGCAGGTGTGAATATCTTGTTGAAATGTGAAGAGTATGAATATCCTGTGTAAATTTCTTATGTTAAACTCTGTATACTATAAATGTGAGAAAGGGGGGGGGGGGGGGTCACAGTGGCTAAGACACTGGCTCGCTAGCCTGAAGGTCGGGTGTTCGATCCCTACATTGACCAAGAACGTTCATCCCAATTTTCCGATGTGGTTCCCCCTTGTCAGTGATGCAGGACGGAGGGCCTGACAAGTACAGCTGTCTATTCGTTCGGATGGAACGAAAAACCGAGGTCCCGTGTACACATTGTCGTGCACGTAAAAGATCCCTTGACAGTTGGAATTCGATATAAGAGTAGGCTGTAGTGCCGCTGTTCAAGCAAAATTTCCCTCATAGCACACTGTATGGCATATGCCCGTCTTCATTAGCCCAGAACGGAGTAGGACGTTAAACCCCATTTCATTTCATATTTATAAATGTGAATTCTTTGTGTATAAATGACACTGGTAACAAGCTATCTACAAACAAGATTTCTGTACTTGCAGATAATAGGCAAATAATGTTGATAAATTAAAAAAAAAATATTAGACCAATTCCTTTTTCTTTATGCAAGATAGTAATACAGGTCTTGAGAATTGAAAATTACACAGGAGTAACAAATGTGTTGGTCATATTTCTTGCTGTAGCTATTTAAAACACCTGCTAAATTTCTGTGAAACACAAAATAGTGAAATAAAATAAAATATTTTGTGGCTTGATGTTTGTTTTTCTTTTTCTGTTTTTTTTTGGTGTGTGGGTGTGTGTGTGTGTGTGTGTGGGGGGTGATGTTTTAGACCCTTCCTTTCATGTATTGTTCATTTTTAGTAATTAATTAGCATTTGACTGTTTAGGGAATTACGGTTATACATGTAGACTATAATCAAGTTTGGGTTTGTAGATCATCAAACAATCTGCTGCAGCGGTAAGTATGCTATGTATTCTTTGTGACCTGACTGAATTAAAATGAGGCTTATCTGACTTTAACTTTATAATGGACTCCCTTTACTTTGCTCTTTTATTCAATGGACAACAGAATAAAACAAAGGTTATTTTCGGGATTGACAGAATCGTAATCCAGTGACCAGTCATCAAACACTACTAACATGTTTCAGCTGTTGTGATATTTTGAGTCCACACTATAGCCTGAAATCCTCTTTTTAATTTGTCATTCTTACCAATTATCTCCCTTGACAATTCATAAGACATTAATATCAATACTCTTGTTTTAACAAATAAATACCCATTGTTTATTAACAAATATAAATACATTGATATTGTAATTACTATATCATAAATACAACCTCCTTGTGTCATATAAAAAAACACACCATGACATACACAATATTTTACATGTCAATTACAGATTTTCATAGTACCGATAATTGATTATTTAAAAATAAGTGTCGAATTATCTCTTATTGTAAAAGTGAACCAGTATTTTTGAAAATATTAAAACTCATTTTATTTTTGTAGAGGTATATAAATAAAACTTTAAAATATACATTAATCATTGTATATCAGTATTATTATATCAGAAGTTTATGACACCAAATAATGTTGGTACCATTTTAAGTCCATCAATTTGGGCAGTTAATGAAGTACAGTAATTCACCATATGCTTCAGATCTGCAGACATTTTATCTTGATATTCCTAAGGTAAGAAAGATTTAAACATTGATGAAATTAAATTTATAGAGTTAATATGTATACCACACTTTTGTTGACTACAAGACAGTCCACATATTATACAGTATAAACCTTAAAACACATCTATCTTCACATTTCATCTACATTTACAGCTTCAGATCATCATTTTGAGGATATTGAAACCCTTGCAAACAGCAATATTGTGAAAGTTGAATCTCTCAAAGAAATATTATTCCAAAAATGGTTCAATTCAGCACTATGTTTACGAAGATATGATGCATTGAAAATTTGTGAACATTCGGCATCCACTGTTGATATATTAGAAATGGTCAAAACCAATTGGCATCACCTATAATTTTGAATATATTCTATTCATGAGCTTCAATTCAATCCAACTGCAAGAGTCTAAATATGATGAAAGGGCAGTAACTCTAATTATTATTAGAAGGACCAGGGCAATTTTATATGGCGGTATATTAGATTCAAAATTCTAACATGCTATCATATAATTTCTAACTTCTATTCATGTAATTTCTAAATTAAGATAATGTATAATCCAACTTGTTTAATTGTTCAGTGTAAATTTTAATTCTATTTCATCTTATTTCTATTATTTAGACGAAAAACATCTTCTTCATTGATGCCATCAATGATGAATTTAGAATTTTTACAGGCCAGCTCTTGGTCTGGTTGAGGTTGGACTGTGTGCTGAGAGAGAGAGAGTTCAACGACCACTCACACAAATTTTGTGACTGACTATGGTTCAATTTTATTTCATTAATTCGCTAGGGGTCTATCAGTGGGAGGACCCGGAGAAAACCCACGAGGTTGGACAGGCAACCGTATTCCCTGTCAAGTACAACCATGGAACCGGGGAATCAATTCTGAAATTGAAAACAACATCGAATATGATATGGTTGGCAAATACTATTTCAAATACAAATACAATTTACTGTTTAGCTTATATTTGAAATACAATTTACTGTTTAGCTTATATTTGAAATAGTATTTGCAAACCATGTCACGTTCGATGTTGTTTTCAATTTCAACACTCCGCCAAACCATTCAACGAGTTGTTGGTATCAACATAATCATCCTGATCAGGTAGGTACTCAATCGCCAAATTGAGCACACGGTGGCGACACCAAATGGTGTCATAATGTTGGTTGCTAAATAGAAGTATCAAAATTTTAAATTTGTTTGACTTTCATGCTTAACATGTAAAGCGACAACAAAGTAGACATCTTTCATCTTAATAATAGAATAATAGAAATAAGATGAAACAGAATTAAAATTTACACTGCACAAATAAAGATTATACATTGTCTTAATTTAGAAATTAGACGATAGCATGTTAGAATTTTGAATCTAATATTCTGCCATAAATTTGGCCTATGACATTTTTTTTTAACATTCCGATAAACTTAAAGATACATTATGGGAGATTCGATAACGAGTTGGCAGTTCTCACTATAATAGTTAAAAACTAGATAACGTAAAGGCAATTTGCTGAAAATTTCATTCAAATTGATCCACTATGAACCGAAAACTAAGCGAATGAAATTTCTGCCTAGCCTCGGTCATCATTACTAAAGACAGTATGATAAACAGCATAGTCTCAATTATCTATTTAATCGTTTAATCGAGAAGGAAAGTTATGCAGTAAATCGGCTCACAATCCACTTAAGATCGCAGACTAGCGATGCCATCTAGAGTTGATTATGGTCTGGATAAGTTAATTAATGTCTAATTAATAATTTAGATAACATTTCAGGCCTAAAGAAAGACCTGCAATACACAGATTTGGCTCTTGCATAATGTATGTTTAATCTTTATAACAACAAGAGCCCAACATGTCACTATCATCTGATAAAAAGCACATACATATGAGGTTCACAGACTGTAGCATACTAGTAAACATTTCAAGTTAAATTAACTCTTAACCATGTGACCAGAATTAAACAACAGTTATTTGAACTATCCTAGGCTGTGAATTACTGTCAAATTTTAAAATAACTTGAGCGCTTTGAAACTAATTTTTTATTAGTTTGTCCGGCCAGCCGTCCACAATTTGTTTGTGGACACTCTGCAGGTCACAATTTTTATCCGATTTCGACGAAACTTAATATATAGGTCTCCCAAAGATCTTGGTTCCTTTTGATATTGGCATATATCGGATGATAACTTCATGGATTATGGCCCCTGATTGTACGAAAAAATCATGTTTCTAGCTTGTGGGCACTCAAGAAGTCACAATTTTCATGATTTTGATGAAACTTAAAATGGAGGTTCATAACCCTAAGATCTTGGTTTATATCTTATTTTTGCGCATATCAGATCTTAACTTCCTGAATTATGGCCCCTGATTGTGCGAAAAATCGCGTTTTTAGTTTGGTCGTCCTTCTAGAGGTCACAATTATTATCCGATTTAAAAAAATGTTCGAATATATCACCGTTACACCGTAATGTTGCTTCATTTCGAATTTCTGAAAATGGACGAAAACTGCCAGACAAAATGGCCACCCCTCATATGCAAATAGTGTAAATATATGGTATATAAAGGTTGTGGACCCTCTAGAAGTCACAATGTTAATCCAATTTTGATGAAACTTGAAATATAATATCTTTATAACCCAAAGATCTTGGTTCCTGTTGGTATTCCATATCGGATCGCAACTTCCTGAATTATGGCCCTTGATTTTATGAAATATCGCTTTTTGTTTAGCTTGTTCTCTATCCATCTCTTGCAAAATGTGGGCGTATCCTGCCTGACAGCCGCTGGTTTAGTATATTCGATGGGAATGTAAATATGCATCCTCTAATTTTAGAATTACTGCAAGATATGTTGTAAAATCACTTATTCATATTACATTATAATGTAAGGAAAGTCAAGCTCATTTTCCTTTTACCAAGAACAGATTCTTCATAAAATATAGACAGTGCCTACCTTCCCTTGATTTTTTCTCAATATTTATTCATAACTGTTTTCTTAATAGTATATAACTGACAACATGAAAATAGATTCATGTTATTCTGTATTCTGGACTATTGAGTAGATATATAAATAGTAAATTCTACTTACATTTAATTCTTGTATTTCTTTACACATTGATATGTTATCATCATGAGCAGTTTTTAATGTTCGACGTAAACATCGGATTTCTTGCTCTCGTTCTGAAAATGTAATTATTTTGAATTGGATACAGTATTTAATAGAGAGAGAAATGGGATTTAGCGCCTACTCGACACAAACTAGGACATTTCGGGACTAGCATAATAAGAATGAAAATGATTATGTTGTTATTATGGATGTATCAAAAATGGTGACAAACAAAACTCTACCCGTGCAACAAACAAATCATAATCAAGATATATCCCCCCCTCCCCATAACACTAAATTTTGCCATAAACAACCCAAAACTCTACATTACAGGATTTGAGCTCTTGTTTTACAATTGAAACAATAATATTATAAACAGATTATCCCTCACCTGAATTTTTTTGAAGGAAATTTTGTATAAAAGATTGCATATCAACGGGATCTGATAAATGCTGGTCATCTGAGGAATCACTTGAGGTAGGTAACGATACTATAGTGTGAGTTGTCTCCCTTGGTAATACAGACGTCCCTAATATGTTTTCACTTTGTTGAGCTTGTTCAGAGGAGAGGTCTTTTACCAGTTCACCTAAATTAAACATAAAATTAGCTATGATACTTAAAGATACTTAGTTAAGAGTTTAATAAAGAGTTGGCCATTCTTGCTATAATAATTCAAAAATAGATGATAAAAAAAAAGAAAATATTGAAAATTTCAGCCCAATTGCTTTATTCTGAACGGCAACTCCGTTGGAAGTTTGGACTAGAAATAGGCATCAACTGTGTCCGCACCGTCTACGAGAATTGTTGATCGTTTGATTGACACGACGATAACTCCACCCACATATTCTCGATTATCAAGTAACATTCTCAATGGCTATGGTACCCTCAATTGGTAGGCCTTACAAAACCAATTCCCGGTCTGCCATTTCTGATTTTAAGTTTAAATCCGAGCTTTATCCAAGCCATTCGAGGGTCTTCAGAGTTGATTATGAGCTTGCCATGTAAATAAAGGTCTAATTAATAATTTCTATAACATCTGAAGCCTAAATAAAGACTTGCAATAGGCAGATTTATGTTTAAATGGGAATAAGAAAATATATTTAGAAATGTGTTTATGACTAATTATAACCCAATACACTCCAGGATTATGTATGGCAACTCAAATCGTGTAACAAAATATTGCAATACAATTACGCATATAGCAAAATGTATTGTAATGTCATAAAAATGTGCACTTTCATCGATCTAATAAAACTTTATAATTAGAATGCCTGATGTTGAAGTGTACAAGCAGTTGCTATGCAAGATAAGCCCACAGAGAACAAGCTAAAAAAACCAACATTAACCCCGTTTACATTACAAATTTTAAGTGTAAACGGGTCAAACGTAAGCGTGACGCGCATGGTACGGTGCCAATCTGGCCCACTGAAGTGAGGTGGTCTCGGAACAGTACCAGGACCGGCTCGCTTTAAATTTTCGTAGTGTAAACGGTAACCGGTCTGAGCACGGATTACTGCGCATGCGCCAAATGAACCTTGACCTTTTCCCCCGCAAACTTTGACAGCTCTGTCATCAGTTCTGTCAAATTGGCTGCTCAAACTAAATCAACCATCATAATTGTTTTCTTCTGGGTAATTTGTATAGGGACTGAAATTAACTTTTCTGTGAAGAGTTCCACATTTAGCGTGCTTGGCACGGTTCTGAGACCGGTTATTTTAGAGTAATGTAAACGGGTCAATTTCTTGAAATTTATCGCGGCCTGGCACTGTGCCCAAAACGGCACGCTTATCGCTGCCAAGTGTAAACGGGGCTATTGAAGCGAACAAGATCTTTAGGATATAAACCTACATTTCATGTTTCATCAAAATCAGATAAAAATTGTAACATATAAAATGTAAACAGACGCACGCACGTATAGGAGAGACAGCATAATACATCCACATAAAAAACTCTTAGAAATTGATAAAACAAAATTGGGGTAATGCTAACAATTGTCATATTATCTGACAAAGACAGCTTTCAAATATGAGGTAAACCGGATAATCTTGCCAAAGTTTTCACGGAAATGAAAGGACCATAGCTCAAAAAACATGTGAATCAGTGCCCTAAACTAACCTGTTATTGCTTGTAAATGTTGTCGACCAAACATATGCTCTTTTTTATTATGTAATGAACTAAAATACTGATTACACACTCTACAGTGTAGCTCCCCTACAGAATCATCCTAAAATTTAAAAAAAACAACACAATTTAATTAAATTTAAAACTTTTGTGGTTTTCAAAAACGGCAATGTAATCAACCACATTAAAACTAATCTGTTCTTGCAAGGCATGTGTTATCTTTTAAAAGAAACCTAGCATGGCCTGGCACTGAATATGCCCACCAGCAATTACAGCAAGTTTGTAAGTCAGTGAAAAAGCTTTGTGTAGCCCTGAATTTCAATAGGGTTTCTACTTAAGACGAACCAAACCATCAGAGCACGTTTGTGGGGGGGGGGGGGAAATCTCATATACCTAGATTTGTAGAGCATTTACAAGGTTTCAATGCCATGGGCAATAACCTGGCATAAAATTAATGTGTATGATTCGTCATATGACGAGCTAAACAATCCCCATGAATTTGAATAATGTCATCAAATCTGCAGAGCATTGACAAGAAATGTCAACTGATGGGCAGGCAGATGGACAAAGGTGACAACAATATACTCCTACTTAAAATGTGGGTGTATAAAAAATAAATCCAGGCCCAGAAAGAAGATGAAGAACAAGCAAATAAAGTTGAAAGGAAAGATTGCTTAATATATATGAACCTTTAATTTTTTTTAGTTAATTTTTTTTAAAGTTACATAATAGATTTACATACTTCAACATCTATCAGTGGATTATAAGAATCTGCACATTCTACTAAACCATTACTGCTGTTATCTTCAGCTACAAATATTCAAGGTCATTAATTCTGATGGCATTTAGTAATGTAATTTAACTGGATATACCAGGACATAATTCTTTGGATTAACTATTACTGAGCTAATGATCAGGAATAAAGAATCCAAGTTAAAATAAATACAGTAATTGTATTACATGGAAATGTTTCTTGATACTGGATACTTGATAAAAGTAAATTCTAATATTGGTTATATAACTTAGCTATAAACAGTGACCCGTTTCATGCACAAGATAAGGAATTTGTATGCTCTCTAGAACACATGATACCATGTCTCATCTGAGGAGTTAGCATAGCTAAAAAAATTTAAAAAAAATATCACTTTTTTTTTTATATAAATATGAAGAGTAAATTTCTAATATTTGATATATAATAAAATCTACATCTGGAAACTCTTCACTTACGACATATCTGTTTCTGTTTTCTTTTTTTAATGATATAATTTCTATATGCATCAGATTGCTGGAAGACTTTTAATTCTTCTATATACCTTTGTTTATCAGCACTAGCTTCTTCTAAATATTTCTGACACAAAAAAGGAAAATATTCTTATTAGATTAGATCTTGTACAAATCAAAGGACGACAACCAGGTAAGCCATCCATGCATATCAAATGCATCTTTTTGTATAAAATAGAGTAACAGCTTTAAAGAAAATATTAATCTTTAGAAGATGGTTTAATCATATTTTATCCTTATAGTTAATGAGAAAATTAACCGACACCAAGTAATAAACCTAAAGTAATACTCCAAGTGGTTGCAAAGTTTTGCTGGAGAATATGCTTAGAAAAATCTGGAATGTGTGCCTTTCTTTTCGTTTCCAACTTCCTACTGAACTATCATAAACATTGTCTTTCATAGGATTAATCACTACCTGTTTCTTATCACTGGACATACTTGACCATTCTTGCCCTAATATTTTTGTTACTTCAACAAACGGTAATTCAGGATTTATATCTTTTATTTGCTGTCTTCTTTCAATCGCATACAAGACATAACTGAAAACATAAAATCAACGCATTCACATTTTTATTAATAAATGTCTAAGAATAATGTAAACAGTTTTATTTATATAAGCAAATCAAAAGAAAACACTACACTGGTCTTTTTAAAAAAAAAAAAAAAATCTAAAAGCCTCAATATGCCAAATAGCCAATAATCAACTTCTGTATGTTAATCCAATAAAATTAAGGACTTTAAACAGAACGTAGATTAGATGCTATCTTTTCAAGAATAAGATTTAAATATCAGGCATCGGCAAATAATCTATGAGAAATACAAGATGGCAGCATGAAATCTATAAAATGTCATATGATCTTACTAAATATATTTTGGACCAATATTTTTTTAATGAGACAACTTTTTATCTAGAATATTGTGCCTTTAATATTTTTATTGCCTACCCTGATACAGGTCCTCTTGGTGCATTTACTTCTGGTGTGTTTTTTCTTTTTTTCCCTTTTGGCCATCCTCCTTTACGTTTCTGAACCTATATCAAATGTATTATATATTAATAATGCATCATGTAAGAGGGAAATCTGCCGATTGCAGGTCCTTCTTTTGTCTTCAAATGTTATAAAAATTATTATTTACACATTTATTCACATGACAAGACTATAATCAACTCTCTAGATCATTGAATGGCCGAGATTTATCTTAATCTTACATAATGCATCTTTAACATGTATAATATAATACACATTCTTGACTTTTCTCTTAAACAACTAATTAACCTACAACTCTGTAAGACTTAGGAAGATCAATATGAAAATAAGTATAGTATAGTTCTACACAGTTTCCTGATGTCCTCATGCCTTAATCCCCAAATCTACTTTAATCGAATATGATTAATAGGTAGGGTGGGTATTTTGATTAATGTTTTGATTGTAATTTTGTTGCAGTCATTTATTTGTTGTATATAAGTAAATGACATTTTACACTGTATCAAAATGTTTTAGTTCTTGGATTGAGGCACACAAAATATATTGACGACACTCATAAATTACATGAACATTTATCTTTCTTTTTGTTTTAAAAGCATCCAACAATCAAATTATATTTCACTGTGGTCAACTTGAGTAGAAAATATTCATTATAGTCAAGGTACTGATGTAATGAAACTATACATCAAGCTTCTTCATTCTCAACCAATAAGAATCAAAGTTTTCATGTTCCAAAGCATCGACAAATCAAATTACTTTTCTCTGTTTAGCCTCAGCAAAAAAAGCTTATCATTGCAAAATTCCCAAGATAATGGACCTATTGTGTTCTAAGTCTTAGCCAATCAAATTGCTTTACTCTAAATAGCCTATGCAGAAAAAGTACTTCCTCAACATATTTACTCAATTATAGGTCCGAAAGACAACCAGAAAAGCTCTATTTAAATGGGGGAGAGACTACAAGACAATTACGTTATTTAATTCTGATAAATCATTTGTTTATATCATTTTTAGTTCCAGGATTTCCCCATGAGTAAATTTTAAGGGATTTTCATAAATTAACCATACATCAAATTATTATGTTTCAGTGGGCTAATATTCTTAAGACCAACATATCAAAGACTTAACTTGATAATGAAATTACTTTGTTTTGGACTTACCGGAGGACTAGTAATAGAAGTAGTTGCATCTGTTAAAGATGATATACTAATAGTGGGAGCATTTATTGGTATTGTACCATCTACAGATTGTATACATAAAATCTTTTTATTTAGCCCTGACTCATATACACCTCCTGTATTACCATCTACTATACTATCTTCTGATGTAGGTATAAATAGTTGAACTATAAAATACATTCATTCATAAAATAACAAATGAAACAGTGAAAGTTCAACAAAAACAGGTCAATATTGTTCTATCCCACATGTAATACATGTATGGTTACATATTCCATAAAGGAAGCCTGGGGATTTAGTAGGCGTGGGTGAGGGGAGATGGGGGTCTGTTTAAATGTATAACATTCCTTGTGCGTAGGGATCTCAGTGGGAAATCAAAGTCATACCACTTGACTCAATTACAGATCTTATGATCTAAAACACACATGGTAGACCATCCCAGGGGAATATCTCACTTGTTAACATCAATTATATTAAAGTATAATATCATCCAAAATCTTCAACATTGAACACACAAATTATTTGTGAATTTAAACATTGATATTGTGATCTTACCGGGAAAAATAAACATTTTACCATTGATACACGAATCATGTACTATAGTGCATTTCAGAACCATTTGTAACAAGCGACTCAAAAAATGAGGCTAGACATATTCCACAAGTTATGTCAAACAGTGATGCCATATTCTTATCCTGGAGAGCATGCGCAATAAATACTACTGGTGTACACAGGAATAACCATATGATAGACAGACACTTTTTAAGTATTTTGCCGAACATAACTGATTAGAAAGTACAGTAAAATCAGAACTGATTGAATGTAAATCAGTTTATATACATTCATATTACATTATAATATGCGTTGCGATCCATTTCTAGGTCATAAATATTAGCGATTTAGCTTGTTTCAATGTTAGATCTGTTTGTTTGTGGACAGTCTACAGGTCACTATTATACGCTCACATTGAAATGTGGTCGTATATTGTCTTCGCCCCCGTCCCTTGAGGTTCCTTTCGATATTCGCTGCAACTTCCTAGATTATGGCCCCAGATTGTACAAAATATCACATTTTTAGCTTGTGGTCCCCCTAGATGTCACAATTTTTATCCGATTCAAATATGTCACCGTTACACCATAATGAAATGATGTCCGAGTTCGAATTTCGTGAAAATCGGACCAAACTGTCTGACAAAATGGCCGCTCCTCATACGCAAATACTATGTAAAAAAGATGGTATATTAAAGTTGTGGACCCTCTAGAGCTCACAATTTTGATCCAATTTTGATAAAACTTTAAATTTATGTTTATATCACAAATATCTTGGATCCTGTTGATATTTGCACATATCGGTCTGTAAGTTCCTGGATTATGGCCCCTGATTGAACCAAAAAATCGTGATTTTAGCTTGTAGGCCCTCTATAGAGGTCACAATTTTTATCTGATTTTAAAAACCGTTTAACGTTTAATAAATATATCACCGTTACATCTTAATGATGATTGAGTTCAAAATTTGTGCAAATCTGATTGAAACTGCACAGCAAAATGACCGCTCCTTGTTCCTAAATAGAGTAGAAGTTTGTAACAACCTTGACTCTCATATAAAAAAGCAATTGGTACTAATTTATACCTAAATATATTAAACCCCTCGGGCGCCATATGTTGAGTTACACAGTATTTAACGTTTTGAAAACACTAACTACTTTATGCCATGGAATCAACGACAAATCTAAACTTGGGCACTCCAACCACTTTTATTTTGTTTTACGAAACTTAAAATATATATTAATATTCCAAAGATTATGGCCTCTGATCGTACATAAAATCTTTTTTCTTTAGCTTGTTCTCTATCCACCTCTTGTAAAATGTGGGCGTACCTTGCATGGCAACCGCTTGTTGAAAAGTGGACTTACCTGGAAGTTGTACCAATCTGTGACCATTATCATCTACAGTACTAGTTATATTATTATAGGTAATATTACCTACTCCATCACTTGAAGGAATCAAAAAGCTGAAAACAGATACAAAACCTAATTTTGTCATAACACACTTGCAGTATTAACAGTTTACTTCAGAGATGAATGTAGTTTCCTGTACATGTAGCTCTAGCAGATGATACAAGTACAGACGCTCCATTGTATATAAAAGGGTTTGTTTTATTAACAAAGCACTACGATATAATAAAGTGCATATGTTGGGAATAAAATGAAAAGGAATCAAAACATAACTGATATGAACATACAAAGCGGAAAACATGAGTGCTGAACAAGGTCTCACTGCCCAATAGAGTCTTCAAAGTGTTATTGTTTCTATCAAAGTTGGGGAATATGATCCAAATGCCATATTTTAGAAAGTAAAAAATCATAAAATTAGTATCATAAATAATAGATTTAGCGTCTAGCCATACAATACATGAATTGTGAGAAGGTGAATTGCTTGTGATAGTAGAAATTCACTGAAGTAATTTCATCAATAAGAGACCTTTTTAAAAAGATGATTCAATCAATTGAATACAAGAGAACATACCCTCTAGGAGCTTCAACAAATACTGTGCCATTAGTTAAAAGACTGTTGTCATCTGCTGATAATGATTCATCTTTAACAACAGTACATGAGTTAGAAACATCAGTTGTAAATGACAATTGCGATTCTGTTAAACCATTATCAGTCGACACTGTGGTCATTTGAATAAAACTGTTCTCCATACTGTTGTTCTGTCATTGGATTTTCAGTAAAACAATAAACAAAATCAAATGCTTGACAGATCTACATCATTTCTATCTTATTTCTAAACGAGAAAAAAAGAAAACCAACTAAAATAATATGCAATGAAATTACATGTCCAACATACCAGTTTGAATTTATACTAATTACAAAACAACACAATAATTTCTAAAATAAAATAGAAAGAATAACCACTGGAGTAACTCAGATAAGAATCGATGGAAGAGGGATTCAATAATTCCTTTATGCTTTGGCATACATGACCCTTAACCCCGCATGATTGATCTTATGTAATAAAAAAAAAGATGGTAATAGAATATTAGGGGCTTTAAATATTTATATATATGTTTATAGTCTGTTTGGAAAGAGAAAGTAAATTTGTCAACAACAAGAAAGTTTACATCAAGCTTGTGGAAACTGGAAAGAAATCCAACCGCAACTTAGAGTGATTTCCCTTTGGGCAGGTGCTTTCGTCAGAGTTTTCCAGACTCAATCACATCCCAAACTTAGGCTGCCTGTCTTCGAAGTATGACGTAGTTGGATCGCAGCGTGCAGTATGACTAAATCCATAGAGGTGTATATATTGATATATATACACCTCTATGACTAAATCATATATAGTGTTGATAATCCCGACCAGCACCGGGTAGACTAATCACCGGAATTCATTTACAATCACCGGAATTCTCTTTGAAGATATCAGAATTCGCCGTAAAATCTTCCTATTTACTTATATTTTCCATTAATATTAATATTGAATTACTTTAAAACACATAAAATCACCGGAATTCACATTGAAAACATATAAACACCTGAATTCATCTTCAACATATCGGAATTCGCTCTTAAGACCTTCGTATTTACTAATATTTTACATTAATAATAAATTACTTTAAATCACCGGGATTCACTTTGAAAACATATAAACATCGGAATTCACTTTCAACATATCGGAATTCACACTTAAGACCTTCGTATTTACTAATATTTTACATTAATAACAAATTACTTTAAATCACCGGGATTCACTTTGAAAACATATAAACATCGTAATTCACTTTCAACATATCGGAATTCACACTTAAGACCTTGATCGTATTTACTAATATTTTACATTAATAATAAATCACTTTAAAACACCGGAATTCCCCTTGAGAAAATCGGAATCCGCCCAAGACAATTGTATTTACTTTATATTTTGCATTAATATTAATACCAGAATGTATCTAATGTAAAACGATATTTCCTGATGGTCAACTCGGGAAACACAATGATTAGAACGCAGCAGTAATCCATGTAAAATGCCAAACCGAACATTTCTCGAATGTGGAGCAAAACGTTCTCAGTGTAGATGAGCTAAGTTTTTTTGAAAATTAACTTGAAGTCTCATCAATAATGGTTTGGATATTTTCATAGATAATCCGCAATAGCATGGAGCAGTCCAGATCGTTAATTGTCTCGTATCACTAACGAGACGCAAAAACACAGAGGGTCACAAAATTTCGACTTAATCCGGTGATTAGTCGGGCCCACAAGGACAGCTGTCTAGTCGTTTGGATGGTAGGCCTACGAAAAACCGAGGTTCCGTGTATACATTTGACATGCACGTAAAAGATCCCATGGCAGTTTGAATTCGATATAAGAGTAAGTCATGGTGCCGCTGTAGGTCTATAACAGTTAAAAATCATCTCAGTAGTAATATATACTCTTCAAAAAAAAAAAAAAAAGTAGGGGATATTCAAAAACAATACAAAACTGCGGAAATGCACTGCTGTTTTTATTAGAGGTAACCAGTGTATGTTAATAACAGGCCAATTGCCTACTCATGAACATAAACAGTTCATATGGGCGGCTTATCTGACGGCCCCATTTCACTAGCAAAGAGATACACCGTCAAAAGTGAAAATGGACGTTTTTGATTTTTGTCTTAATGAGTAATTGCCCCACCAATCCCCAGACATTCAGCAATTCGTCGTCGCATTCCCCTAATCAACCGTCCAATCACGACTTGGGCAATCAGACCCACTCCTCTTGCAGTGCCACGGCCAATTCTTGCAGTGTTGTCGGTTGACGTTGACGTCGACATATACGTCTCCCGATCAAATTAAACGTAACACACTAAAGCAAAGATACGCTAAATAGTAAATCTTATGCAAGAACCGATAGCAAACATGGATAGGATAAACCAGCAAGCGGCAGTTTTCATCAACCCTTCCTTGAAGTGTCAAATTTGACAATGAACCCCTCCCACGTGTATGGCGCTATTGTGTGTCGCACATGCAGCTCAGTGGTTCTGTTGGGGCATTAAGTTCTTCATTTGTGAACATACTCCCAAAGCATGTCAAGTGTCCATGACTATTTAACATATAAAACCTGCATAGGTATTTGCATTTCAATATCCCCTACTTTTTTTGAAGAGTATATTAATCTGTGTTCGGATAATACCATAACAGTTTAAAATCAACTCAATTTCGTTAATAGAGCAATCTGTATTTTATGAGTTAAAATAAACAAAAAAATCACTGTTACATGCCTGGGCCCTGTTTCTCGAAATCTTAACGAAAGATAAAATCTAAATTTTAGTTGATTCTTCAATTTTGATTGGCTAAGCACTAAAATCAAACTAATATTATCCAATCAAATTACTAAAATTTGGATTTTATCTTAGTTAAAATTTCGTGAAACAGGCCCCTGGTATGTATAGTTAGCAAAGACCACGTTACGCGCATGTAGGGGATTTGGGTTAATTGTTTTATGAAAGACTGTGTATGTTATAGAGGATGATGGCTGTTGTGAGGAGGGCGAAAGTTCATTTACGACTGGGGTTCTATAGAGTAGCATACATGGCTGTGTTGTGATGGAGGAGGTGGTTGTTTTGGAGGGGGTCGATCCTTTATGGATGGCAAACGTGGGTGGATTTATGGATGACTGGGCACTGTGGTGTGGAATACATGCATCTTCTACGCACACGACCAAGACAATTTTTTTTATAAAAAGTGCTGATTTACAATTTTGCTTATGTAGCTGAGCAGGGGGGAGGGAGTACCCCCCCCCCCCCTTGATCCGCCCCTGCAAGCATATAAACTTATGGTAAGCCTAAATATTCAAAAGACGTATGTGAATTAGCTTCAAAGTGAACAATTTATTTCAGAAACATTTAGTTTGAAAGGTTAACACAATTGGGTTTATAAAAACGTTTGACGATGGTACTCTCGTCTAAATCGTCTTGCTAGAATACTTCTTGGGTTGGGTTGCTAAGGACTTAAGCTGGACAGTGTGTCAATCGGGTATAATCTCTTCCTATAATCTTTAACTGGATTAGTCCAAGCGGGTGTAATCTTTATGTAGAGCTGGGTCGTTAATCGTGAGGAGCCTCCTCCAATAAAATCTCTATAGAAAACTAGGCTGGTATTCTGTAGGATTTTGTGTTATGTTTGCTGCATTCATTTGCTGCCGTATAAATGAAGACACGTAATTTTGAACGAATGTTACGGTAGTGAATTTGATGCCAAAGCAGGATCGGCAAGCTTTAATTCAATGTATTACGAAAATGCCTAATTTTGTAGGAATGTTACTGACATAAATTTGAATGCCGTACGGGAATACGAAAAATAGCGAGGTTCACCTATTTTTATTACGTACGGAGTATGAATATTTTGTCGACATGTAATTTTTAATTGTGGTATGAATTCTTCTGCTTAAATAACGATAAGAGTTATGCCCCTTTATTTTCGGCAAAATGTCCGACAAGAAAAATTTTGAAATCCCATCACTGGTCTCAACCCCGTGGTCGCGGAGCACTTTTCGTTGGGTCGTGGCGGACAACTCCGAAACTTTTGTAGTCTGGAGGCTCAGTGCGGGGGTGGGGGTCATCAAATAGGCACAAAATCAGGTCAAACTTTTCTAAAGTAAAATTTTGCGTAGAATACGTTGTCGAGTTGTAATCAGTCCGCCGATGGGGCTTTTTCGAGATATTCGGGGTCTAAGGTCAAATGAGGTCATTTGCACTGAAAATGACACTCAGCAAACGTCGGCAGATTCCATACTCTACATCTAGTCTCGACTGTATGATGGTAAGTGATATGTACCTACACCTATACAATTGCGATGCGGCACCGGTTTACTTATTAGAAACACTTGTCGCTTTTAAAAAGAAGTTATCAAAATTGCATCGTTCGAAGCGTGTGTAGAATTTTCAGTGCAAATTTGTCTTTGTTTGAAGAAAATCGGATAAACTTGAAAGAAAAATAGCTTCAGACTTTGAAATATATATTTGTATGATAAATCATTTTTTTAAAGGCGTCGTCATGGGCAACGCCGTTGGTAATCCGGGAACTTGAAAGTAGTTCAAAATTGTTTTACAGAGAATTACGAAAGTCTTCTAATATCTCTGTAAAAGATGACTGTCTTCAACACGTGCAATCACATCACGCGGCGTCAATCATTGAAAGAAAAATAGCTTCAGTCTTTGAAATATATATTTGTATGATAAAACATTTTTTTAAAGGCGTCGTCATGGGCAACGCCGTTGGTAATCCGGGAACTTGAAAGTAGTTCTAATTTGTTTTACAGAGAATTACGAAAGTCTTCTAATATCTCTGTAAAAGATGACTGTCTTCAACACATCACGCGGCGTCAATCATTGGCTCAATGGCCCGTGCATTGTTTACATAAGACGTAACTGCTTCGGGCAGAATGGCGCCTTTTACTCATTTTAATACCCATTTACACTAAATAGGAAATATTTTTTTTTACCTACAAATACTTCAAACGTCTTTATTTATTTTTCTAATACATAAAAAAAATGTTTTAGAATTTAATTTGTCGGAGGAAAAAAGTTAATATTGGGGACTCATTAAGTCGCATCGATGTCATCCTTATCAGTGACTGTAGCGGCCTAGCGAATATTCACCTCTGATCAGTGTGCGTCGTACAGTCGAGGCTAGATGTAAAGGCCCGGCGGCCCCAGTGGCCGATGGACACAAAACGTATACAAAAAGAACACAGCGGACGAGCAAACTTTCGGGGGTGACTCCATCCGTTTTCTTCCGCTCCAGAAATGGACAAAATTGACGAAAATTTGCGAAAACAGAACGGAAAAGAACGAACGTGGGAAGTATGTAGCGGGGATGTTAAATGGATGTTTATCGGAAGCCTATCGGATGAAAGCGGATGATCCTTCAATATACCAGATACATCCCAGATACAAACGCTTTGTCCGTTTTGAAAACTTTATATACGAGATGCATACGCTTACATCCTTTCTATTTCCGTGCTACTAACGATGTATAGACGTTCCATGTACCTTATCTTTCCTCCCCTCTTTCCGTTTTCAGCTGGAGCGGATGTGAGTTGCGAGGATGCCCGAAGGATGCAGAGAGGATACAGACACAGTGGACGTTTAACGGATGATAACGGACATGGAACGTTTGGTGCTCGTATATGTCGCA